AATTTTCTTTTGTAATTTCAGGGAAGGCAATTCACCTACAGATTCTTCTGTAATTTCCTATGGCGATTTACTGAATAAAGTCTGCAAGCTGTCAAATGCCTTAAAGCAGCTAGGTAAGTATTGTATGGGATACATTGAAAATGTGAGCAGTAGAGTGTACAGCAATGTGTAGAACGCCTACTAAACACATACAATTCATGTTATATATTCACTGGTGATGGAAACCGTTTAGGTATACAAATTATGGAATTGATTAGTTTATAGACGTTCTTAGCATACGATAAAGACATACGCAGAAATTACTGTTAGGATGTGTTCATCTTTAATGTGAAACATGAAATTAAACTCCTTTCTAAATGTACTTTGAATATTGTTACAAAAAACTACAACTTATCATTGGAGCCTGCTGAAATACCTCCGCTCATGTCAAAATAAACATTCAGATAAAGGATCTTGTGGTGGGCATTGACCCCTAAAATATGTCTAAAATAGATTTTAAAAATTGTATTCTGTATCTGAATTATGTATGTTACTGTGCTGGCTTGACATGGGAGTTAACAAAAGTGAAGTACTGTGACTTATGGTGGCCATACGCATGTCAGTAAATGATTGATTTTCTTTTCTGATCAATCTCTTCTGATAGGAGTAGTCCATCTATAGTCGCCAATCCATTTGGTCGATATGCCAAATGCAGGGAAATTGGATTTTAAGCAATAGTTAAGATAAGATCGTAACTTATGATAGTTATCCATCGCATCTCTGTTTCAACCATATAATACATGTGTTGTATTGCTGATTGAAAAGAGACCTAGCTGCACACACAACAGGTTCTACCAGATGGCTTCCTTACTGAGCAGAATTTCTGTGAAATGATGAAAATGCATTTCAGTCATGTTTACATGGTGATCTAACTAGACAAAAAGTATGGTGAATATGATAAGTTTCTGCTTTTAATGGTTACAGCAGTACACCTCTCACTGAAAAGAATCCTGCAAACTATATCTGTAAGCAGCACACAGGATCCCCCCACTTCTAACTGCTGAGCCTAAAGTGTGCGTGCGTGTTTTTTACACTATTTGATCAGTTTTATTTTTTAAGCTTTTTTATTTTATTTTATTTTTTGTTTCCAGCACCTCACCTACAAAATTATATCTATTGGATAGACACATGTAGAAGTATATATGGTGGTTGTGAGTCCTCATGAGTCAGACTTATGACCACAATATATACTTCTACATGTGTCTATCCAATAGATATAATTTTGTAATCGGTTAATCTTTGTGGTCTAGTTTACATAGTTAGTCTGGCCGATAAAAGACAAAAGTCCATCCAGTTCAACCATAGAAAAAAAGTTATAATCCTATACCCACAGTTGATCCAGCGGAAGGCAAAAAAAACCCCAGCAAGGCATGATCCAATTTGCTCCTGCAGGGAAAAAAATTCCTTCCTGATAGGATATTCCCTGGATCAACTCTACCTATAAATGTTAGTATCCATTTATATTCTGTGTATCTAAGAAAGAATCCAGGCCTTTTTTTTTTTTTTTTTTTTTAAGCAATCCACTGAGCTGGCCGGAACCAACGTTTGAGGGAGTCTATTCCACATTTTCACAGCTCTCACTGGGAAGAAACCATTCTGTGTTTTGGAGATTAAATTCCTTTTCCTCCAGACGTAAAGAGTGCCCCCTTGTCCTCTGTGATGACCTCAGGGTGAATAGCTCTACACCGAGTTCACTTTATGAACCACTGATGTATTTATACATGTTCATCATATCCCCCCTTAATCTCCTCTTCTCAAGAGAGAATAATTTCAGTTCCTCTAATCTTTCCTCATAGCCGATCTCCTCCATGCCTCTTATCAGTTTGGTTGCTCTTCTCTGTACATTCTCCAGTTCTCCAATGTTCTTTTTGTGAATTGGTGGCCAAAATGGAACTGCATATTCCAGATGAGGTGATAATGATTATTACAGGGGTAATATGATCTCTCCCCCCCCCCCTCTCTCCCTCCCTCTCCTCCCTCCCTCTCCTCCCTCCCTCCTCCTCCTCCCCTCCCTCCCCCTCTCTCCTCCTCCCTCCCCCTCTCTCCTCCCCCCCCTCTCTCCTCCCTCCCCCTCTCTCCTCCCTCTCCCCTCTCTCCTCCCTCCCCCTCTCTCTCCTCCCTCCCCCTCTCTCTCTCTCTCTCTCTCTCTCTCTCCCCCCTTCTCTCTTATACCTCTTTTAATACAAGAGAGGAGTTTGTTCACTTTAGAAACTGAAGCTTGGCATTCTCCACCATTGATTCCCCCAGTTGTACTCCCCCTGGTATGTATGATGCATGCATATTCTTAGTCCCCAAGTGCATAACCTTACATTTATCAACATTTAAACCTCATTTGCCACATAGTTGTCCAAATAAACTGTGCATTGATGTCAGCTTGTAAGTTGAAGACATCCTGTAAGGACGTTATTTCATTGCACAGCTTGGTGTCATCTGCAAAGACTGAAATGGGATTTTTAATATCAGACCCTAAAATGTTTATAAATATATTAAAAAAGTAAGGGTCCCAACACTGAACCTTGGGGTACACCACTGATGACCCCAGACCATTCAGAGTATGAATCATTAACCATTACTCTCTGAATACAATCTTTTAGCCAGCTTTCTATCCATTTACATACGGATTTTTCCAAGGCTGTAGACTTTACCTTACACATTAGCCGTGTGTGGGGGAACTGTGTCAAACGCTTTTGCAAAATCCAAGTATACCACGTCCACCGCCACCCCTCTGTCCAAGGTTTTGCTCACCTCCTCATAAAAAGAAATCAGATTTGTTTGACAACTTCTGCCTTTTTCATGAATCCATGCTGTCTGTTGCTTTAAAATATTTTTTTCCAGCAAGAACTCATCTATGTGGTCTTTTATTAAACTCTCCAGTATCTTCCCAACTATAGAAGTTAAACTAACAGGTCTATAATTACTTGGCAAAGAGTTTGACCCCTTTTTAAATATAGGCACCACATTAGCCTTTTAGCCTTTTAAACTTGTTGCCCATGGGAATATATTTTGCAATGTGTTCACATACAGTCTTTTTGAAGAACTCCCATTTTTATGTTGTGTTCATTGATGCCGGTATTCCCTCCCAGTCTAAGTCTTGGAGAGCAGCTCTCAGCTTTAGAAAATTAGCTCTCTTAAAATTGAGCGTTTTATTTTTCCCATATGTGCTCGCTATTTACAGCTAACAAATGAAATCCTGTTATGGTCACTGCTACCCAGATGTTCTTTTATATGGACATTCGTAATAAGCTCTGCATGGTTTGAGATTACCAGGTCCAGCAGAGCATCATTCCTAGTTGGGACCTCTGTGAACTGTACCATAAAATTGTCCTGTAGTAGGTTTAAAAATATTTGCCCTTTAACGGTTTCTGCAGTACCATTACTCCATTCAATTTCTGGGTAGTTAAAATCCCCCATTATTATCACTGTCCTAGCCCTTGCAGCCCTTTTCGATCTGTGCAAGGAGCTGAGTCTCCACGTCCTCATTAACACTGAGAGGCCTATAACAAACTCCAATGATTACCTTTGTAGTACGCACCCCATGTGCAGTTCCACCCATAATACTTCTGCCTCATCACATTCTCCATCAACTAGGTCCTCTTTCACACTCGCTCTGAGATCAGCTCTCACATAGAGACAGACACCACCACCTTTCCTATTTACCCTGTCTGTCTGAAAGACAACATAGCCAGGAATATTAATGGCCCAGTCATGTGAAGAATGAAGCCAAAATTCAGCAATATAAATGAAATCATTTTTCTGTTCATGCACCAAAGCTTCTAACTCACTTATTTTGCTTGGCAGACTTCTGGCATTGGTGAACAAACACGTTAAATCATTGACACCTTGTTCAAACGTATTTTGCATATCTTTAATCTTCATACAAATGGTATCAATGCCACTGGTTGTTTGTAACATGGGAACCTTCTTATCTACATAGCCTTCCCCCCCATCTTTCCCCATTCCACCCTCCAATAAGTAGTGAGCTAGCAATTAAACCTTTTTACAAGGCTGTGTGCAGATTCTCTGATTTTGTGGCTTTAAGCCTACTGTATTTTTAATTTATTATAATAAAGTTTCATATCTTTATACATGTTGTCCCCCTTCAATGCTAGTAAAGTCCAACTTTTTTTTTTTTTTCCTGTACATATGCAACTATACATGGAGGTGGCATATGAATGGTTCTTCACTTTTATTCTAAAAGTGACAATTGATGGTGATGAAAAAGTGTATATGCAGCACAAAAATAATGCTCTAATATATTTAGTGTTTTAAGCAGATGTATACCATAAACGTATATCATTGTGCATAGTAAACAGATATACTCCAGTAAATACCAAATATACATACAAAACGTGCAAATACTTGTGTCATAAGTGACAAACACACGTGCCCAATTTTGGATAATTTCAACGCACATTTGGACACGTGTTTGTCAGTTATGACACAAGAATTTGCATGTTTTTGTATGTATATTTGGTATTATTGGAGTGTATCTGTTTACTACGCATAATGATATATGTTTATTGTATACATCTATTTGTAACACTAATATATTAGAGCATTATTTGTGCGCTGCATATACACTTTTTTTTTTTTCCATTTATTTACTGTATGCGGGAACACATTCTATGCGGGCAGCACATCACTGTAATCATATTAACACCATTTTGCGCTGGGGTTTTTTCTATGTAATTGATGGTGATGGCAGACAAGTGATTCTGCAACTAAAGACAAATCACCAGCTGCAGGATCGCTAAAGAGGGCGCCTATGTATGTCCCATAAGGACACACAGCCAGCCTGTTAGTGATCCTGTTGATTTTGACAAATTGCCAGCATCAGGACTGCTAGTAGCGGAGTCATCTGTAATTATAAAGTCTGTACTTAGTTTTCTAACCTTTTATAAATAAAATAATTTACTTTCATAGGTGTGAAGAAAGGAGACAGAGTGGCTATCTATTTGCCAATGATCCCAGAACTGGTATATTCAATGTTGGCATGTGCTCGAATTGGTGCAGTTCATTCTATTGTGGTATGTATGTCTCCTACAAAGTAATGATGCCTGATCTTCTTGATATTGGCTGTAGAGTATTTTTTCTTTAGTGCAGGGCAATGTCATTATTGTTAGAGTAGAGGATGATAGTACAGAAGATTGTTGAAACTGAGCCCAAGGACATAGAGTCCTAACAGTCAAAAAGGGTTATTTATATTCCACAGACAAGCCTTATACGCATAAAACTTACATCTGTGTAAATTAAGATCTATACTGTCACTTTAATCTCAACAGCACAACAAATCACTGGTGTAATGCACAGTACCTCCTGGAATAGGTTGGTAGATGACAGTCAGGGACAGACAACTGTTCCACCAGATTACAAGCTCTGCAAGACATGCAAATCATTTTTACTCTCAACTCATGTAGTACATACAGTAGAAGCAACACTTATTTTTTGAGAAGTCTTTTCAGCTCTGTAGAGTTGACCACTTATGGAATGCAGTCAAAACTGAGCTACGGTACCCACATGAGATGATGGTCATTGAGTCCAATTGTTTTTGAACTGATTGGGTGATCTAGTGTCTGTGCAAGGCCTCCACCCTGCCCATCCCTCCACAGTGTGCTATGGGAATGTTTGATTGGTCTGGTTAAAACACCAGCAGCAAAAAGGCTGAGACCTCAAAATTTTACAGAGGTCCACTTTGCATAAATAACCTTATACAAACCAAAAAAGAACAGAAACACAGTTTGGGGACATACAGGTCCACTTTCTCAAGGTGAAAAACAGACGGGTCCTATTTGTCCCTGGAATATCCTTGTTTTTTTTTTGTTTGTGTAATGCTATTTATGCAAAGCAAACCTTAATAATAAAAGTTTTGTGGTCTCAAACTTTTTTTTGCAAGTTCTTTGAGGGGAGCAAGGCCAACATTAATACCATAAAGAACTTGCAACAAAATGTTTGAAACCATCCAATTTTACTGAAGTCTGCTTTGCATAAACACTATACAAACAAGAACATAAAAAAACAGACATTTCCGGGAGACACATGACCCTTGTTGGCCTGTCACCTTGAGAAAGGATTCCTGTATGTCCGTGAAATGTCTGTGTTTTGTATGTGGTGTTTTTTTTTGTTTTTGTTTTTTGTCTTGTCTAGTGGTCACTTTGGTTCCCTCTGTAAAATTAAACTGCCTTTACATCTGCAAGTTTTTCTCCACTCATCCCCCATTCTCCTCTATAATGACATGAAGAAAAAAACTGTTTGGCGAAGCTAAGAGTTTTGTGCATGAGCCTACCACGAATTCCCACTGCACAGGAGCAATGAAAGTGTGCATACATGTCTGACCACCTTCATAGGTCTATGGTAGTTCATCTATGTTGTTTTTTGCTTTGAAAAACACACTATATTAACTCTTTAAAAGTATAGTAGATTTTCTTGCTCTTTTTTTAGTTTGCAGGCTTTTCCTCAGAATCCCTTTGTGAAAGAATCCTGGACTCCCAGTGTGCTGTCCTCATTACTGCAGGTATGGAAATAACTGTGTGCTTTGGAAGAATACATAATGGAACACCTTGCTTCACGTTAATGAGTTCTGAACACTTTGTTTTTCAGATGGTGTATTCAGAGGCGAAAAAAACTGATCAACTTGAAACATATTGCAGATGAGGCTATTCATAAATGCAAAGAAAAGTAGGATTTATTCCAGTCTGTTTCCTTTTTATTGTTTGTATGTGATCATGTTTTTATAACATTAATTATTAGCAGAGACCTATCATGGTTAGCTAAAGATAATGGTAGGATATTGTATTTTTTTAGCAACGTTAGAGGTGGACTGTGTACTATACCTTTTACATAGCCGATTGTGTGACAGCATGTGGCAGTATAAATGTCTGCATATGTTTTTATTTAAAATTTTTGGTGCATTTTTAGTTAGAAGCAAACACTGGTTCAGTGTGACAAAACCACCTTGACGTATTGTATAAGATTATTTTTTTTTTATTTTATTTATTTATTTATTTTTTATCAGCTCTAGCAAATGCCAAAAGTGCCAGACTACCATTTTTTGCCTTGGTTGGCTTCAGTAAATGTAATACCTTTTTTTTACAATGTTTACTGAGCTTTTATAGAATATGTAGGCATATAAAACATTTCTGAAAAATGTATGCAGTTGGCAAATTTTATATTTGATTCCTTTTGGGAAGTGATTGTTAGTGGAAGATGTGGACTATTAGCTTTGCAATGTTTATAGGGTTAGTGTATATGCAAAGCACCCCTTTTTGTAATACAAGCGGCAGATATTTGCCTAGCAGGTTTTGTTCTAGTATCGAACACCCATTATTCTATAAAATGCATTTATAAATGTTATTTTTCATGGCGTACTGTATAATATTGTGACTCATTTAATTATGGATATAAACATTCTTATACTGGGTGATAAAAGTACAATGTTCATTCCTGCTAGGGCTCACATTGTAAAGAACTGCATTGTGGTAAAACACCTCAGTGGAAAGCTCAACAATCAAAACAAATCAAAACTTCAGGTAATCATCTTATATTTTTCTATAACCATTTTATGCTTTTCCAAAAATATAATAACCGGTAATACAATAATTGTCTACCCTTCTTCTTTTTTTTTTTTTTTTTTTTTTTTTTCTACCTGTTAAAGCTGTTATAGTTATGGCCATTTTGTAACCATTAAAGTGTATGTATAGCCAACATTTTTTAAATTTTTTTTTAAATTTTTTTTATTTTGAATAACTAAACCTTGCCAGGCTGTTTCTTTGTTGTCTGAGTACCATTTGGGAGGTACCCTTCACTTCTGTCATAGAGACACAGCAAGCAGTAAGAAGAAATCTCCAAAAGTTAGAGGATTCCCCTCTTGGACAGTTGTTACTGGAAAATGCTTGAATTTCCATTTACTGTGTCTTCTGGGGACAACCCTATAAAATGTTGAATTTCCACCCATTTTCTCTCCCAATGACAGTGGCCACCAGTACAAGTAGAGAGATGAATCTCCCCAATGGGGACACAAACATTAACGTGTGTCCCTGGCACCATTTTATGACCGCTCAGTGACACTGGCTATATTTTCCTTCGGGCCCTCTCCAGCACTAGTGCTGCAACTGACAGCTGTCAGTGACAGCTGGGGTCCAGCATTAAGCCAAGGAACTTATTGTTACTAAACCCACAACAGTAAAATCAGTTTGCATATGCAATAAAGCATACTTGTTTCAGTCACTGTGGAACCTTATGGGTTAATCCTCATTGTGTTAAAAGGATGTTTGATCCTGTCTTCTCTGATCCTTCACTTCTTCAGTGTTTCCTAAATATCTCCTGATAGAACAGAGGCTCGGGGGCAAGCTGCACATGCTCAGTTTGGTGTGTATTACTAGAGCGTTTTTTTTTTTGTTGTGTGTTTTTTGTTTTGTTTTTTCTTGGGAGAGTGCATGTGATCAGCACAGGGTCAGGCTCATCACATGCACTCCAGACAGAGGTCAGGGGTCCTGCATCCTCCTACAGGAGAATGAAAACTCCTCCTAAGGGCACATGTACACTGCAGCTGATAAACTCACGTTTTAGGAGCTGTTCAGTGTTTTTTTTCAGCAGCCCCTGAAATCTCCCTAATGTTTTCCTGTGTCCATGTACACATCTTCGTTTATAGTCGTTTACAGGCATTTGAGATTACAGTTGTTTTTTGCATAGGAAGTATGTATACTCCGGTTTGTATTGGTAAATGCTGTTGATTAATATGCTATTGCTATAATAGTTATATATTATTATGCTTTGCATGAAGGTTGCCTGGAACCCAGACAGTGATTTGTGGTTGGATGAGCTGATGGTAGACGCAAAGGAAGAATGTGAACCTGAGTGGCTGGATTCAGAGGATCCTCTTTTCATTCTCTATACCAGTGGCTCTACTGGGAAACCTAAGGTACAGTTACTGTAATTCTAAATTAGGAATTGCATCATACAAATTCATCCAATATTATCAGGCGTAACAGACCAGATCACTGTATCATATAATTTATAGGCTGTAATGGCAGTGAGTGGCTCTAAAATACCTTTTGCTAAAGTGAGCCTGACAAACCATGTGGCCATGGAATTTACACAAATGACAACAGTCTATTCAGGCAAAATTACTGTGGTTGTTTCTCTCTCTGCTCAGTCTCTTACTGCACTTGAAATCTAAATTTAATGTGATACACATATTGATTGAGGTACCAGTAATATTTTTATGTCTGTCCCTCTGTATATTAGTGATCAGTGGAAGAAGGGTTCCCTTACATTAATTGTCAGTGGTAAAGTGCCACCTTACATTGATGGTGAATGGTATATGCCTCCCTTACATTAGTGGTCATTGAGAAAAGGGTCCTCTTACATTGGTGAGTGGGAAAAAATGCTTCTTTTACATTGGTGGTCAGTGGGAAAAAGTACTCCTTTACATTGGTGTCCAGTAATAAACTGCCTCTTTATAATGGTGGTCAGTGGGAGGAGGGTCCCATTACATTAAAATGCCCCCCCACACACACTCACACTGGTGGTCAGTGATTACGGGTCCCATCCTTATATTGGGGATCAGAGGGAGAAGGGTCCCATTACATTGGAGTTCATTGAAAGAATAGGCCCCTCCTTCATAGGTAGTTAGTGGCTGAATTCTCCCTTACATTGGTAATCAGTGATAAAAAGGTCCCCTTACACTGGTGGTCACTGGTGAAGTGGCCTCCTTCATTGGTGGTTACTAGTGAAGAGCACATTTTGCATTAGTGAAAGTTGGTTATTTATCTATCTATCATAACCAGACGATGGTAAATGAATTGAAAGTGTAGATAAGGTTACTGTGAGATAAAATAAAGAACTATATTAAAGAAACTCGTACATTCCAATAAATGTACTTCTATCATCTTTACCTGTATAACTTTCTAAAGTCCTAAAGGTATCTTTTAAGTTTAGTATTGGTGTCAGAAGACTCCAAAAAAGCAGCTGTGCAGGAAAATGTCACGTCAGTTATGTCCACGTAGCATGTGGGGACGTTTGTAAACACTTTCTTTGTTTTGTGACGCATTGAAGACAACCACTCCCTGTTTAAACATTCCAGATAACAGTGTGACAATTTCATTTTTACACAGATCATCTGATTTAGGCTAGGCTTGCTTTATTTCATGCCGTCAGAGCTATAAACACCAGGAAAGCATTTCCTATTCATTTTTTTTAATAGACTATCAATTTTGCTGTTTACAGGGTGGAGCAATTTATTACAAATGTACCATTTCCCACTTCATATAAGAGTTGATGCAGTATAAAAAAGATTAAGTCTGAAGTTGTATTTTTTCGTTGTTATGTATCAAGTAAAGTATGACGTTTTTACTTTTTCTTTTTTTTTTTTCCAATCAGAGACTAACTCCATGAATCTTGCAGCTTTGACCAAAGTTTAAAAACTGTCCTTGTTATAGGTGTAGGCCATTTATTGATCTCATGAAGCCTGACTGAAACACTTCCAGGACATTGCTAGGAGACGCCTAACTGTTGCTGTTCACCATCACATGAGTGAGCATCGCTTCGAGAAAGAGAGCTTGCTGTTGTGATAGTGAAGGTGAACAGTGAGTGCTAGGAGTCTCTTAGCAATGTCCTTAGCAATGTTCTAGGAATTTTCCAGTCAGGCTTCATGAGGTACTGTATATAAATACCTTACACAGATAGCAAGGGCATTATTCAATTTTTTTCAAAGCTGCACAGTTTGTTTTTTCTACAGACGCCCCTTCTCTGCATAGGCAGTTTTGTTGGTATAGGTGAAGTATGCCTTTAAGTAATATGAAAAGACATGCTTTCTCTCTTTTCTTTGCAGGGAGTACTGCACACAGTTGCAGGATATCTGCTTTACACAGCGCTGACATTCAAGTATGTGTTTGACTACCATGAAGATGATGTCTATTGGAGCACAGCTGATATTGGATGGATTACAGGTCATTCTTACATCACTTATGGTCCACTAGCTAATGCTGCTACTAGTGTCATGGTAAGCGTCTCAGATGGTATGGTTCTTCTAAAACAAAGAAGGTTATCGCATATGGTGTGAATGCACAATATACATGCAAAGCGCTGCATACATTGACAGCTCTATAGAAGTACCTGTGATAAGTAAATAATTAAAATATAACAATTCTGTATTTCTACTTGATTAAAATCACAGTTCATAAGCATAATCTATCCTTAAAGTGATAATAAGAGCAGGCTTAAAAACATTTCATATTTGCCTGCTCTGTGTAATGGTTTTGCACAGAGCAGTCCTGATCCTCCTTTTTTCAGGTCCCCCGCGGCACTACTGGCTCCTCCCTCCTGTCTAGTGCCCCCAAAGCAAGCAGCTTGCCCTGCTCCCTCTCTCCCCTCATTGGCTCACTGGCTGTGATTGACTATGGCTCCTGCTGCTGTCTCAGCCAATGAAGACAGAGTCCCAGGAAAGCCTAGGCTCCCGTGCACATTGCTGGATCACAATGGGGCTCAGAGTATAGAGGGGGGTGGGGGGTCTGCTGCACACAGAAGGTTTTTTACCATCATACATAGAATGCATGAAGGTAAAAACCTGGAGCCTTTACAACCACTTTAAAAGAATACGTTCACCTTTCATAACCTGTTCCATGTTAACCCCCATTCATTCAGGGTGTAACATG